GGTTCTACTGAGGTGCTAAGAAAGCATAGCTTGTTTTGTTTGTGGTTTTAGCTCCTCTGTAGGCTATCCATGGGGCTTGTGTTTCTGATCTTCGCAATACTCTACAGATTTGTTATTGGGTCCTTTCAAGCACAGGGACACCATGGTTATTAAAGCAGGTATTGGTATGGTTGGGCAGTTGCACTGTGGGCAGGAGCCACCTTCTGTGGGAAAATGAAATAAGCATTTATAAACAGCTGTCAGCAGAGGGAGGCCTGTTGCTCTACAAATGTCTTGGTATTAGGTTTGGATAAACACAGAGGATCGCACCAGCATATAACACAGTTCCCTAAATCAGTGGCCTTCAGGTGACATAAAGTAAGGTCTGTGTCTCTCCCCTCTTCCTCCAGAATCCAAGTCTTTGGTTTCCAAATGAGGTGCAAACTTAGCTTTCATTTGAATGGAGGACTGTGGAACGCTGAGCAAAAGTCTGTCTTTTTTCTCCCAGCTTGTGCAATATCTTAACAGACGGAACATGACCTTGGCTAAAAGTATTAGTAGCAATAACATCTTGAAGTATTTATTGTCAAACTGGCCTTTCTAGTCTCTTATTTAATTTCAGAGGAATTTTGGTATCAATAGTTCCTACAGTACAAGATCCAATTCAGGCAAAACTTCAGCCGTCAAATGGATGGTACCACATTTGACTCTAAAATAATTTTAATCTGAAGAGACTCACACAGAGAGAGAAAAGTGTTATCGGCATGAATAAAATACGTTCTTTGGCGCTCGGGCCCAGGCAGAGGACTTTGATGCTGTGAATCACCATTGGCTTCGATGAGTAACTTAGAAAAAGGATTAGAATAGTCTTCCCTCAGGGTCCGGACACTGGTGGTTGGATAAGGCAGAGGGTAAGTGGGACTGAGAATAGTTTGATTGTGATGGAGGAGATGGAGCAGAGGACGGGGAAAGTTTGCTGACATGTTAGAGGGAGGCTAGGCCAAGAGGTAGGTGAAGTGTATGTCGAAACATGTTTGGCTTTGGAGGAAGTGCAGTCCCTGCATTGATTGGTTGAAGCTTGAGCAAGGGATATCGTAGGTGGTCCAGGTGAAGCTGATAAGACTCAGATAAAATTTTTACTTAAGCTTCATCAGTCCACAGAGTACTTTAAGCATAGCTCAAGTATTGCAGGGAATGTATGTCTTGTGATTGTCTAACAAAACACCAGATCATCATAATTCCATTTCTTTGCTTCATTGTTGGTAATCCTGCAGAACCACTATCAGTTTTAGTCTGTGAGGCAGACACCATATAGTTAGGGTGGCCCAGGCTTTCTTGAATTATCTCTACAGTTATGCTGTTATAGAGTTAGACTGCTGGAGGACATAAAGACGACTTAGCCACTTGGACCAGCACTCTTGCCCAGAGCTTCTGGCACATCACAGGAGAGAAAGCTCGCAAGATTTAGTTGAACTCTTGCACCTCAAGAACAAAGGACACTTCCTTGATGACCAGAATTTTTAAGTAAACCCATCAAACTACAGATTATTCCACTGTGAAGCTACAGATTAGACAAAGACTCCTAATGTGTGGAAACGTTTTCACAAAAAATGAGTGATGCCTCCGATTCAAGCCTGTTTTGTGGTTATTGACTGTTTTGTTATTGACTGAGATTTTTTGCAAGATTTTCCCATAGATATAACTGTTTATTATGGCCAGACATCTCTACCCTGGTTTTCTCCGTAAAATGGTTGGAGCGCAACAAGTTTGTTTTATCTAGATGCAATTTTGTCAATCTACGTCATTCTTAAGGTGCTAACTCAACCTGCAGAGTATAATATGAATGTATTTAGACTTTTGCAGCTTTGAACATTTTATGTTTTGGACTTGGACTGAATTTGTATGTAGTTGAGTCTGTCTATGTTGGGTGCCTTATACTGTAAAGCAGACTCCAGGTGCAGCCCAAACCTTGTCCCCTACAAACTCTCCCTGAATTGGCTTTTTTTGACGGTCTTCTGTCCGCTGCAGTTATTTCCTATGGGGCTTTTTCCTTCCACTAGACTTTCTATTGATATGCAATAGAACCCTGCATTTTTTTCTATTAACCTTGTACAGTAGTGCTTATCGTACATACTGGCTCTCTTTTGTAAACATGTCAACTCATGGTTGCACAGGCCATAACATATCTATTAAGCTTTCTTTTTCAATGATCTTCTTTAAAAAAAAATTTTGAGGAGTTGGATTTATGATTTTCATTAGCTTTAACCTAAAAGCATAAATTCTAATCCCTATGTGTAATGAGTCTCTTTATTATATTAATTTTGCTCCCTTACTTATTGAAATCTATTATTTTTCAGGGATATTTAATTTTTTCTGAGAATCGTTCCTGTTTTATGAGAAAAATCTGTATAATAATGCTAATCTTCCTTTGAGTTTATCAGGGAGAAGAAGGAGGACTTTTAAACTCCAGAATGAGAAAACAGAAAAGTTAACATTAGAGCAAAGTATCTCAAACTGTTATTAATTGTGTTTGACCTCTGAGTCTTGCACATGCTCAGTCGGCATCACAAATATAACGGCAATTTGCAGCCAACAATTATGTGTGAAATGAGAAGCCGTGGCGGTCCGTGGCCTGCATGATAATGCTGTCTGCCTTTATAAAAATAAAAAAAAACCTATAATCTACCTAAATAGCTGGCATACTCATAGCATGTATCATCAGCTAGACACAAGGAAAAGCCGATCACCTTTTTTTATAGGTTTGGAACCAAAAAATAAAAAAAGGTGCGAACAAAAATAAGAGTTAAAAATTCATCCAAGCTCGATCTGTGAAAGCCCACGCAGGATGTTGTTTTTTAAAAGTTTGATCAAGACCTACACATTCTTTGCCGTCAGCGGACTGATAAAAGTGGGATTGTCTTATTTTATGGAGCTTTTCAAGTTGTCAGGACCTACGGCATCCCTAGTCACTTTAAAGAATGCAACAATCAGCATTCTGAAGAGCTATCGTATCATTTGACAAACAGCCCTGTTATGTAACCCGCCGTCTTCTGGAAATGTCTGCACACTTCAAGGTCTGCAAGACCAGCAGTTTTTTTTTTTTATATTTGTTCTTTTTTTTAACAAATAAACTTTAAGAGATGAGACTGCACTGACGAACGTGAAGCATATCGAGTCTATTTGTACAGTCTTTTGATAAATGATGTTGTCAGCTGCTGAGAGAGGCTGTGGGCCGACTTTGTGTCCTGGGCAAACAGATAGCTCCCATCCTGGAGCCTGGCTGCTTGGCTGTCACCCTCCGGCCTGTGTTTGTGTCCCTTTCTGGGAAGTGAAAAGCAGACGCTGGCAGAATACCTTCCTGCCATCTCTGGTGCCAGTGCAGGACGGCTCTCTGCCCACAGAGGGAGCGTTCTGACTGGGATTGGGCATAATGTGTGTGTGAGTGTTGTGTTTGGCAGAGGATCTGGATGCTGGGGAGTTCTCAGGCTGTTTCCGAGCCCACTCTGCCTGCTCTCTGTGTGTTTGTGTAGGTTTTTATTTCAGTGTGTGTGTTTGTACCAGCTCTGCGGTGGGTCATGACTCAAAGGAAGGATTCAGAACACACGGTTCTGAACTCAACAGAAGGCCCGAGGGACAAATACAACTCAGCACAGCACTTTTTCCCCCCTCTGTCGTTCTCTCTTACAGTCCTTTCATAACTCTTCTCTCTTTCCTTTATCTTACCTTCCCATTCACTTACTGTTCTCTTAATTCCTCTGAGAATCTGTATGTGTACTTACATTTAAAATGACTGAATTAGAAAATTATTTGAAAGATCTGCTTTTATAACCAAGCTGCGGGTAACATGGCCGCGTGAATTCATTTAGCATAAACATGATAATGGAAGAAATTTTTTAAACAAAATATGAAAACAAAAATCAGAATAGTTTGGAAAATTTAAAGGCATTATTCAAACAATAAAAACAGCTCCTATATATATTGCTGTTAAAATAACCATGCATGCATTTGTTAGTGGTACCAAGGCATTAGCACACCTGTTCCAATTTCAATAACATAAGAAATTATTTATTTTATTATTGAAATAAAAATAGAGGCTCATGTTATCTAGGCTTATTAGACCCACTCTGATGTAATTCATTTGTTTATTTCCTTCTATAAAAAAAACATGGCACATAACTAGAGCTGCATCTAAGGATTATTTTGCTAATCGATTACTCTGTCGATAACTTTATTAATTTACAAATTTTATCGATTAATAATTGGACTGCAAAAAGTTCTCAAAAGATTATTTATTTTTTATTAAACAGCCTGAAACCAAAAAAATTCCATTTGAGGAGTTTTGGATAGAGCATAGTCATAGAGGAAAATCAATTTTTTTTAAACTTAAATGCAAAAATAATTACTGCTCGGTGCGGCTTACTCTGTCAGCTAAAAGCATGTTTTAGAGTCTCTATACTCCAGTTAACGATGAATTGATTACTAAATTAGTGTACAATTGTTTAAATAATCACAATTAATCTGTTTATTTTTTCCAGCTCTAGTTATAGCTAATAAAAAAGCTGTTTATTGTAAATGGAAATATTTAAGACAAGAGATCCTTCCCACCTAAAAACCATCAGCATCTACAACTAATTAAAATAAACCCCTGGAATGAGTTTCATCAGCATTTTTCTCTCCTTTGGGGATAATAAACCAGTTTTTTTTTTTTTTGAAACACTTTGTATCGACTGATCTGAGTTTGTATTATTATTATGATTCTCTTGTTTCTAAATATTTTCTAAAAATATTAGAACTGTAAATTTATAGTAATTTTTACTATTTTTCAAGGCTGCACTTAAAAAAAAAAAAGGGCAGTGAGCTGTTTCCAAACGAAATTTCTTTTTGTTTTACACTTGTGCAAACAAAATGACAAATAAAATCTGTCTTAAGTCTAAAGTCTAAAATGTACCCGTTTTTACCAAATATATCAAAAGGCTGAAAGCCTTTGGTTTAAACCTTCTTTCTTTCTCTCTTTATCACAGAGTAACTGTGGGGAGGTTCTGCGTATCCGCCGGGTGCTGATGAACTCACCAGAAATCGTGTCCATCGGGCTGGTGTGGGACTCGGATCATTCTGACCTAGCAGAGGACGTCATCCACAGCCTGGGAACATGCTTGCGTCTGGGAGATGTAAGAGGCTCAAATGTTGCGCACATTATATCCCCTCTCTTAAAGGAGAATTCCGGTTTTTACACTTTAAGCCCATTTTCTGTAGTGTCCAGGATGAAATCGAATGATCGACACCAAAAGTTTGACAATTGCTCCTGTCTCTGCTTTTTGGCTCATTTAGAATCCCCCCCTGGCTGCTTCATAATGGCTGCCATAGTGCATGTCCGATAATGTCCTTAAAACAACCTTAAATGTTCTTTTTTTAAAATATGCTACTCACCGTGTCGTCAGCGCTGTTCAATGACGTTCCAAAAAAAGTTTCGTGAAGAAAAAACGTTCCTTTAGTGTTTTATTTAGCATTTTGTAAATCCCATTGAGTTCTGTTGGAATAGTCAATATTCCGCTGCCACCGGAAACGGAAATGGGGCCTGTTTACACAGTTGTAGTCTTTTCGCTTCACTCTGTGTACTCCGACGTCGAGAATCAAGAATCCACCTTTCGTATTCCATTTTCAGAGTTTTTTAAAGTGTTTAACAGAGACGTTAGCACCTCGACGTCGGAGTACACAGAGTGAAGCGAAAAGACTACAACTGTGTAAACAGGCCCCATTTCCGTTTCCGGTGGCAGGGGAATATTGACTATTCCAACAGAACTCAATGGGATTTACAAAATGCTAAATAAAACACTACAGGAACGTTTTTTCTTCACGAAACTTGTTTTGGAACGTCATTGAACAGCACTGACGACAAGGTGAGTAGCATATTTTAAAAAAAGAACGTTTAAGGTTGTTTTAAGGACATTATCGGACATGCACTATGGCAGCCATTATGAAGCAGCCAGGGGGGGATTCTAAATGAGCCAAAAAGCAGAGACAGGAGCAATTGTCAAACTTTTGGTGTCGATCATTCGATTTCATCCTGGACACTACAGAAAATGGGCTTAAAGTGTAAAAAACCGGAATTCTCCTTTAACTATTTATTCCATGTGAGACACAAACAAGCTCATGTAAGCTGAGAGATATATTTCCAATAGAGATGTATATAAACTGTCCTGTTTTTCTTTTTGCATGTGAAGCAGGGATGTTAATGTCTGTGGTTGTAGATTTAGCTGTAGGAGGATTTGACTGCAGCAAAACTGGGCAGACTAGGGTTTTAGCTATATAGGAATGAATAAATAGTAAACTATGTGAGAATTTTTTATTCTTCTTCTTCCTCCTAGATTATTTACCATCATTCCCTCAGGATCACTTAAATTTTTTTATTCTCACATATTAGGATTGCAGCGCCCCACAGTTCTTTGCAGAACTTCGCATGAGTCTTTCAGAAGATGAACTAGGCTTCTGAATTATCATCATTATGCAGAGCCAAAACAATAAATTGGCCTTTAGCTGGGTTTACAGAGCAAATAGGGTGTTTTAAAACAAAGTTGTGAAAAAAAAAGTCTTTCCAGTTGTGCTTCTAAAACTGAAATGTGTCAGAATTTGGTTCATAAAGTAAGACAACAATCTTAATATTGTTTTCCCAATAAAAAAACAACAGCAGTTTTTATTAGGAATAGGTCTAACGTACCTAAATCCCCTAAGTGAAAACACAGAAAGAAGATGAAGTAAGCACCAGAGTAAAATCTGGAAACAAGCAGGAAGCCTGGATAAAGCTCTATGAAAAAAAAAATCAATGAAGCGGATGAGTTTCACTTGGAAATATGATTTCTCTGAAGTTTATAGTCATTGGACTCTTGGATTTAAGGCTGGAATAACCCAAACCTCAAGGAAGAATACATAGCAAAGGTCATAAGCAGAGTCAACAGCCAGACCACCAATGTTGCTGTAGATGTTATTTGAGAGCAGAATATTAATGTGCGAAGAATGTTTCCTTTTGCCAGTAATTAACAGAAGCTTTTTTCCCCCCTCATTGTCTGATATCGATATTATAACATTTCTTGCAAACACCACAGGTGTTTCATTAGCTTTTAAATCCCAGGGTAGGTTGCTGGTTTGCTAAGTTTCCAAGCCTTTAGAGCTGGGGAAGATTCGTTATGGCCTCCTTAGTGAATAAATGTGGGTATTCCCCATATAAATCTTCATAAATTTTTATTGAAAGGTCTCGCTGTAGTGACTGTTCATCATCCGTACCCAAATTTGATGAAAATTAGTCGCATCTCTGCGAGTTTTGGCTGTGTTATTTGCCCTTTAATGTACACTTATAGATGGTGGGAGTAAAATAATTTTGAACTTACATTATTTAAAACTGTTGAACTATTTTAAAGTTTTACAGAAGAATAAAGACACCTTTCAAGACTGCTTTTTTTAGTTGCTCTAGAACGCATTTTTATACTGTAATCACAGCAAAGTGACAAAGAGATTTTGCCTAATTAATTAAATTCAGCCTGAATCTCCATTACATATTTATTTTTATTGTGTGAAAACAATCTTCACAATATATTATTTTTCTGTTTTTCAAGCTGTAACTGGATGGCAATGAAACTCATTTACCATACGGCAGCAAACATGAACACTTGGTGCGATTTATTAAAAAACACAAGTAATAAAAAAACACGTGGACTTTAGAAACAGTTGAGTATTAAGTTTTTAGAATAAGGTTTATAAAAGATTGTAGTTTGTCAGTAAGAAGTTATATATATCATACTTCAAAAAAATAGATTAGTTTGTTGAAATAACTTATAATGTGATTTGGTAGCGAAAACTGCTTAAAAATAACATACTGATTTCTAGGATAGCACGCATCTGGGTTCAGCGTTCAAATCTTTTGTTTTAATTTTTTTCTTAATGAAGATTCATTTTCAAGCAATGGTCTTTGATTGTTTTGAAATGTCTATTAATTTTGCTAAACAGCTTTAATATACCGTACATCAGCCAGCTTCGTAATCAATCAAAAATCTCAATGAAAGAGCTATTCTATGGAATGATCATATCATTAATTCATAGAAGTGAGAATCTTGATCAAATTAAGAATAAATTAGGATAAATTAGGAACAATTAGTCAGTTGGACATTAAATGACAGATTGGATACCCATCTGCAGTATGATGGGTATTGCTCCTGAATTAGTGCGGTAAACCAAGAAATGCTCAGCCAAAAGTAAACCTCTAAATCTACTGATCATTGTATGTTTTAACCCTTACCAAAGGTCACAAAATGATCGTGACTGGAATAATAAGATGCTGGAAATAAGCAGCTGAGATGGGCTTCTTCTGCATATGCTAATTATTTGGTCATTATTTCCACTATATGATAACCTTGAGTAAAACTATGACTGATTCATACATATATCTACAGGATTTGAATGGTGGATTTGCAGTACGCTAATCAAGGGTTATACTGTAAAGCTAGCGCTTTTCCCACATCTCTTTACTTGTGCTTTTTACTCGACACTCAGACAGCCTTATTCACCTCACATGTTTGACCCCTGACACTCTTAGTCATAACTGAGTAATGTTGATGCATCATGATGCCGCTGTAACCTCTCCAGCAGCATTTTGAAGCGATATCTATGAATAATGGATTAGTCAACATGAGTATGTGTTACAGTGAGTCAAGATATGCCCCCCCCCCCCTTTCATCTGTCTCTTCTCGCGCCTCTCTCCCCCGTTTTCATCCTGCGGTTGTGCGATGAACTGTTAGATAAAAAGAAAAAAAACCTAAAGTCTGGCTTATTGAATTTTTCCTCTTGTGTTTAGCAGTTAAAAGAGAATCCATCTGCCTCTCGTTTCCTCGAGCTGCAGCTTCTACTCTCTGTCTTCTGCACCTGTTTCCCAAAAACACTTCTATGCTCTTTTATTCCTCATATTGGATCAGTTTTTGTTGCTGAAACCAATAGTCTGCTATAGAAATTGGATTTTGATGATCTATTATTACTGTGAGTCATTTAGCAAAGAAAAATTCCAAAAGATATTCCGGCTGCAGCTGGTAAAACTTAATATACAAGCTGCTGTTCTCCACTGTATGTTCTTCTTTTGAGTTTGCCAAGAAAGAAGGAGCAGTTTGCACCACGAAAATTATTTTGTGCCCTTAAAGGAATAGTACACCGAAAACATGATTAGCCTTCATTTTCTACTCACCCCCATGCTGAACAACACTCTGGAGTACTTTTTTGATATCTCAAATGCATTTGGAGGTCTGGGAGGCTTCTTGCTGTCTGCTAACATTCAAATAATGGAGGTCTATGGTGCCCGAGGCGGAAAGGTCCATAAAAGTCCACAAAAAATGTGTCAATATTCCTCCATACTGCTTGTCCAATGTATTCCAAGTGTCCTGAGTGGGTAGCGTCCATAATTTACTCGAAACGAAGTCATTTAGAATGTTTTTAGAGCATAAACAGTAGTGTATAGGACTTCCTAAACGCGCGCGCATGCGAGTTCACGAGTCTACGGAAACCGCGGCAGACCAAACCAGATGAAAGTGCGCATTCAGCTCGGCAAAGAACTCATGCTCTTCCTCAACAATGAAGTCCTCAGACATTTTTCTTTCGTTGTTTCTTTCTTTGCACAGGTAAACAGCACATTTCTTCTTCTACGCTTGCATTATCGGCAGAGCAGACGCTGAATGCGCACTTTCATCTGGTTTGGTCTGCCGCGGTCTCCGTAGACTCGTGAACTCGCTTTTAGGAAATCCTATACACTACTGTTTATGCTCTAAAAACATTCTAAATGACTTCGTTTCGAGTAAATTCTAGATGCTACCTACTCAGGACACTTGGAATACATTGGATGAGCAGTATGGAGGAATATTGACACGTTTTTTGTGGACTTTTATGGACCTTTCTGCCTCGGGCACCATAGACCTCCATTATTTGAATGTCAGCAGACGGCAAGAAGCCTCCCAGAGCTCCAGATGCATTTGAGATATCAAAAAAGTACTCCAGAGTGTTTTTCAGCATGGGGGTGAGTAGAAAATGAAGGCTAATCATGTTTTGGGTGTACTATTCCTTTAAAAACAAAGCGAGCTGTAAAATTGAAACTTGCAGCCCCTGCATAAAGGTTATGTAAAAGTACTGTTAAAAGGAGTAGCCAGACTTTTCTTTGTACTTTTTTACCTAGAGAGCAGTTCATTTTCTTTTTGTTTTTAATCATAATTCAATCAAGACAAATCCCACCCTCCCTGAATTGAATCTTTAGGTAAAAAAAATGCCTCTGGCAAAGTCACAAAAGGCAGAATGAAAATGCACAATAGTCCTTGTGCATGGATTATTCAATTTTCTTCTTTATTTACATATTTTTATTTAAAATTACGCTTTTATTCGGCTCCAAACATCTGAGCTGTATGTAGAAAATATGCATTTTAGTAAGATTCAGAAAGCAGTTTTTGAAGAAGACCAGAGCAGATGAGAACGACCAGCTTTCATTGTCAAAGGACGATCAGAAGACAGGTTGTTACGGTCGATATGTTCCTTTAAAATTATTATTGTTAAGTCCTAAAACGCCTCCTGGAGTAGAGCGTGTTCCATTGAAAATGAGTCTGGTAAGACTTTCTAAATCCAGCCCGATCCTGCCAGTTAGCCCCACCATGCATGCCCCTGCAGTACAACCAGTGGTGGTTAACATAAAATACAATTTAACAGGCATAAAGTGCTAAAAAAAACAAAAAACAAAAAAAAAAAAAATGCATACAATGAAAAGCCCCTTTTATTCAAAAGGCACCATAGAGTTCTGCGTAAGATCTGAGCAGTATATGATCAGTGAGAATATCCGTGAGTGCATTGATAATGTTGCATGCAGATAAGACGTTTAGCCTGTTGGATGGAGTCTCACTGCAGTAAATGCCCCCTCATTAACATTGATAAAACAGTCTAGGATGTTAAATCTCACAGAACGCAATAGAAGCAATATGTCACTGCCAATTTTCTATAATCATTTACCTCCATTCTGAAGTATTTATATGCTGAAGTCAAGGGTAAACTGTATCTTTGTGGAAAACAAGCTCATTCAGATTGGATAGAGAGTAAGAGATTAATGTGCAGGACTTCCATTCACTTTAAAGGCTGTATCTGATGCTTAGAGCTGCTCTAGCTCAATGAGAGATGCTGTATGATTACATTGAACTTTTTAATAATAACAGAACCAAAACATTAAAAAGTTCAAGAGGTTTTGATATGTTTGTAAGGTGTTGTATAGCCTTAGAGGCTGTACTTTAGCTGCAGCCCTCCTCCTTAGAAAAGCGGTAGCTTGTATTTTGTTCAGTTTCTTTGCAGTTTGCATGAAACTTCCCACATGCAGCCCATCTAGTAGGTGAATAAAATATGCTTGTTTTCATATTAACTCATTTGTACCCCCACCCGCCCAACTCCCTCTGCCTACGGCACATCTCTTCCCTGATGCCCCCCTCCCTTCCTGTCTGCTCCCTCCTCCTCCTCTATCTCTCTCCATAGTTGTTTTACCGTGTTACAGAGGAAAGGGCTCGCCAGGCGGAGCTCTACTTGGTGGGCATGGTGTGCTACTACGGCAAGCACTACTCCACCTTCTTCTTCCAGACCAAGATACGCAAGTGGATGTACTTTGACGACGCCCACGTCAAAGAGGTGAGGCAGTTTTATTCTATCCTTTTTTTTTTTTTTGGGTTGTCCTCATGCTGCAGAGATAGGAGGCTGCACTGTACGGCATCTGCTGCATCCTCAGCTGTGCCGGTGAGAGCAGGAAGGACAGAAACTCTGCTGTGTCTTACTTTAAGTGCTGCATGCTCAGGTCCTTTTGCTGCACTGAGGATTTGAAAATAAATAGTTTGACTTTTATTTTGTAGCATTATTTAGGGCTTAGCTTTGTTTTTTATCTAGGCATTGCACCTGTTACCATATTTTGTGTGGAATGTAAGGATTAGTGTCAGCAAACCGGTGTAAGTGGAAACATCCTTGACTCTTTTGTCAGTCACACTTCACAGTGTTTATCACATTAGAGGGTTTAGCTAATGACAGAGTGTGACAAATTTGAATAATAGATCTTTTTGGAAAAACCTCAGAAAGTAGAAGGTCACACAGAGTCTTTGCTATTTATGTACCAAGTTCTACTTCAGTGCTGACAGAATAATTTCCATCATGTGTCTCTGCGCAAATGTGTGTCTTTATGTCCTTTGGTGCATCTGCTCTCCTGCTGCATCTCCAGATCGGCCCAAAGTGGAAGGACGTAGTGTCTCGCTGTATTAAAGGCCACTACCAGCCCCTGTTGCTGCTCTACGCTGACCCCCGTGGGACGCCGGTGATACTGCAGGAGAGCCCCAACCCTTGTACTGGCTCCAACCCGCAGCTGGAGCTCCAGCACTGCAGCAGCAAAGCTGGTTACGACAGTGAGGACTCAGGTACAGCAAAGATAAACACTCTGCTGCACATCAGATGGGATTATTTTGTCTTTATCATCTGCTTGCATGAGATGATTTAACAATGATGCTGTGACCTTCAGTGCTATAATCTGACCTTTGCTTGTTTTTTACTGCTGGAGGCTGGGATTGTTTTTCTGGCCTTTGACTGGTGACAGACTGCAAGCGTGCAGGATTACCTTAGAAGGGTCACCTCTTTTTTTATCTTTCAGGTCGGGAGCCATCCATATCCAGCGACACTCGCACCGACTCTTCAACGGACAGCTCGAGCCACCGCACGTCCCGCAGCCGACCCTTGCACCAGTCCACGGGCAGCCGGCTCTCCAGTGAATCCCAGACTACGGTGGTCTGTAGCCACGACACACCGCCACTTAGTGCTGACACTGGAGGTAAAACCACATGGAATAAGGCAGGTGATCTGTCTTCCCATTAAACTTTTGGGCAAAAAAACTCTTTTTGTTATATAACTTGTTGTTATTTAGATTATTTATAGGCTCGTCCAGCTCACTTTACAGCCAAGAGCCCTTCCATTTTTTCCCCCCACATTATCATGTTATCATTTAAATGATATTTCAACAAAAGTAAATATTATCTTGAAAAAAAACTCTAAAACAAAACTGATGCATAACAGCCTTTACTTTAATACCTTAATCTGTAAATAGAGCTCACCTGTGTTTGACAAACTGGGTTCGAATACAGCTGATCCATGAGGACCTTCAAGGTTTGTGAGATAACATTAGTAAACAGGCAAGTTTAAGCAGCCAGTAGTCCTGTTTTAACTTTGGATGAGCTGCAGAGCACCTCTGCTAAGGTTGTTGCTAAGAAGTTTTTCAAATAAGTCATTGAAGGAAGACAGAGCACATATATAAGGGGAGTTGCTTAGATTTGACAGAAATAAAACCTTCATGCAAAATGAGTTGCGATAAACTAAGCCCAAACACACAATCTCCAGTGTGAAACATGGTGGTGGCAGCATCATGCTGTGGGGAGTTTTTTTTTTTTTCAGAAAAGAAATGGAATACCAAGGGAAAGATTAACAGAGGATTCCTTAAAAAAACTGCTAAGCAATAAATCATTGTGATGCACAGCTGATGGAGGCTTTCTCCCAAAGCCTGCAGATGTTTCTGCTTCTCTCTTTGTTCCTCCATCTCACATTTTTGGTCTAAGCTGTTGTGCACAGTTGGGCCTGCCCATAAAACCCAATAAAATATGTGATGGTTTCTGGATATTTTGTGGAAGAGGAACAAACATTTTAGCTTCTAACTGTTCATGACAATTTGAAGAAGGCGCTCTTTGGATAAGTGATTTAAACTAACATTTATAAGTTGTCGCTTTTTTTTTTTTTTTTTTTTAGCGATAGTTATCTTTGGAGCAACTCTTGCTGTGGATTTAGTTTAGTGCAAACAAAGGCCAGTTTTTTAATTATCCCTTTCTCTGTCGTCACTGCAGATTCTTCAGGTTGTTTAGCTCATTGGTGCACATTCCCACATTTATTTGCACTGCCGCCTGCATAATTGCTCCCTGTGGGATAAATAAAGCTCTTATTGGTTTTACTTGCTTCTCCTCTCCCTGCCGTTTCTCCCACGCTCAGAGTCAGCAGTGGAGCCTCCAACCCGCCACCCCTCTCCTCCCCTGCAGGAGTACAAGGAGACGGCAGTCTTCCTCCTGTCTTCACGCAGGCCCCTCACCTCCTCCTCCTCGTCCTCCCGACCCCTCTCGTCTTCGTCTTCGTCTGGAGTCGGGGGCTGCGAGGGCGGGGCTGGGGGTCCCCACTGGGAGGATGAAAGCACCAGCAGTGAGAGCAAGTCCAGGTACTGCAATCAGAACTCCAAACATGGTGCTAAATTCACTTTTTGAGCCTTTAAAAGTTTGGGATCTGATTAAATGTTCTGAAATGTTAGCCTTACATCATATTTGACATTGATTCAGATCATCCTTATTGTTTTTGTGCTTTAACGTCAGAGGCGCAAGTGACCCTAACGGTACATGATACACCTGTATGATAAAAGTAATTTCACTGTTATATTTTTTTCTGGCCAAGGACCATTGTAGGTCTTGTTTTGTATTGGATAGTCCTGAATAATCATAGAAACATCAAAAATAGTGGAAATTCTGTTGAAAACATGTAACCATGATAACGGCTGTTAAAATCTGTCGTCTGATGTAAAATGGCTCATAAATCCACACAGCCCTGTAAAAACGGCCAACATTTCTGGTGTTATTTAATGAGGCCAAGATAAATCATTTAAACACTTTTTTCCACAAAAAATGTGAGTTGTATGTTGTGGAATACATCCGTGCAAAAAAAAATCTGAAATGCAGAAAATACAATTTGTGCAATTATACAATTTAAGTTTTTAAATTATATTACACCGAAGGATCTTCTCTTTCCTCTATCAGTTATTGACTCTGATTAACCAGAAAAACAGTTCAGCTATTTTTGCAGTATATAATCCTAACTTCAGACAAGTGGATCAGTGGCATAGGCGGATCTACAGGTGCTGGTCATAAAATTAGAATATCATGAAAAAGTAGATTGATTTCAATAATTCCATTTAAAAAGTGAAACTTGTATATTATATTCATACATTACATACAAACTCATATATTTCAGATGTTTATTTTGTTTAATTTTGATGATTACAAATGACAACAAATGAAAATCTCAAATTCATCATATCAGAAAATTAGAATATTACTGAAGACCAATAAAAACAAAGGATTTATAGAAATGTTGGCCAACTGAAAAGTATGAACATGAAAAGTATGAGCATGTACAGCACTCAGTATTTAGTTGGGCCTCCTTTGGCCTGTATTACTGCAGCAATGCGGCGTGGCATGGAGTCGATCAGTCTGTGGCACTGCTCAGGTGTTATGATAGCCCAGGTTGCTCTAATAGTGGCTTTTAGCTCTTCTGAGTTGTTGGGTCTGGTGTATTGCATCTTCTTCTTCACAATACCCCATAGATTTTCTATGGGGTTAAGGTCAGGAGAGTTTGCTGGCCAATTAAGAACAGGGATACCATGGTCCTTCAACCAGGTACTGGTAGCTTTGGCACTGTGTGCAGGTGCCAAGTCCTGTTGGAAAATGAAATCTGCATCTCCAAAAAGTTGGTCAGCTGCAGGAAGCAGATGACATGGCACCCCAAACCATCACTGACTGTGGAAACTTTACACTGGACTTCAAGCAACGTGGATGAAGTGCCTCTCTTCTTTTCCTCCAGACTCTGGGACCTTGATTTCCAAAGGAAATGCAAAATTTACTTTCATCAGAGAACATGACTTTGGACCACTCACCAGCAGTCCAGTCCTGTTTCTCTTTAGCCCAGGCAAGACGCTTCTGACGCTGTCTGTGGTTCAAGAGTGGCTTGACACAAGGAATGCGACAGCAGAAACCCATGTCTTTCATACGTCTGTGTGTGGTGGTTCTTGAAGCACTCACTCCAGCTGCAGTCCACTCTTTGTGAATCTCCCCCACATTTTTGAATGGGTTTTGTTTCACAATCCTCTCCAGGGTGCGGTTATCTCTCTTGCTTGTACACTTTTTTCGACCACATCTTTTCCTTCCCTTCGCCTCTCTATTAATGTGCTTGGACACTGAGCTCTGTGAACAGCCAGCCTCTTTAGCGATGACCTTTTGTGTCTTGCCCTCCTTGTGCAAGGTGTCGATGGTCGTCTTTTGGACAACTGTCAAGTCAGTAGTCTTCCTCATGATTGTGTAGCCTATAGAACTAGACTGAAAGACCATTTAAAGGCTTTTGCAGGTGGTTTGAGTTAATTAGCTGATTAGAGTGTGGCACCAGGGGCCATCAATTTTGAACCTTTTCACAATATTCTAATTTTCTGATATGATGAATTTGAGATTTTCATTTGTTGTCATTTGTAATCATCAAAATTAAACAAAATAAACATCTGCAATATATGAGTTTGTATGAATATAATATACAAGTTTCACTTTTTAAATGGAATTACTGAAATCAATCTACTTTTTCATGATATTCTAATTTTATGACCAGCACCTGTATTGGGGTGGCATAGGGTGGCAACTGCCACCCTAAATGACAGCCTTGCCAGGCTGGCGAGGCTTATAAATTAATGATAATATCAGAATTAAGACCGCTAATTTCTAATGTCGGACTGCAGTGAATGCAGCACGAGATGACGCGAGAGCGACTGAGACTGATTTGTTTTGAAAACAGAGTGGGGCAAAGCGAGGGAGCCAGGGGTCATGGGGAGAGGAGACACAGGATGAAACAGGTGAAACTGATTAACTATCTATTGAGAAATTAAATCATAATGAAAGCACAATGTTGCTAGCATAGCTGCAATGCTGATTTTGAGATGATAAAAATCAGGTTGCAGAACGTTATTTCTCTAACTATGATGTTAGTTAGGCCTGACGTCTCAGGCTCATAAAAAAATATTTGCGGTCACCTATGACAGAAAAGAGACTATCAAATTTAGTTGTACTCAAATCAAAACGCACAAAGGCATTGGATCTAAATACATTAGTGAAGCGTTTTGCTCAGCAACATGGAAATTGTTACATTCAGCTGTTATAGTCATGTCAACTTTATGTTATGCTCTCTGGTTAGCCTTTACAGAGCTGCTACATTTTGTTTTGGCACCTGAGAAAATCTGATATTTCCTTTTAATAAAACCAAAAGAGTTAAAAGTAAAGTTAAAAATGTGATACTGGTGTAAATCCTGCTTAATATCAGGCAGTTTTGTTATTTCTTTTTTTGTATATATAGTATGAAACTATCCAGAAATAACCTGTATGAACCTACTCACAACATTTTTTGTACTTTTTCAGACTGGAAGCAAAATTTATTTTTATGTTGCTTCTTTTCAGATTTGTGGAGATTTTGATGTAACATACAGTACCTGCCTTTTTGTTGATTTGTTGATACAGCAGCTCTATCTATAGCATATTTACATGCATGAAATGTCCCTTTCATGTTGCCTTAACTGCTGTATGTCAAGTTACTGAGGAAAAAAATGGGATAAATGTGTTTTCAGAGTAAACAATACATAGATGTCCGGTACCTTGTTTGGGTGCCTTAACCCATTTATTTCTACTGTGTAGTTATCCTCACTTTAGTACAGCTCAGTCCATAGATCTCTGATGGGTAACTTTTTCTTTCTATAGTTTCTTCTTGTGCAAATGCTGCAAAGCTGCCTCTCTGACAGTCAATCTCACACATCTGCGACTCAGCACCTGTGTCTTACCTTAATACCTTTCCTGTGATAATGTCCCTCTAGAAGTAGTGTTATCATTCTTCTATCTCCTATTTGGTGAGATCACATTGTACGATGTATTTCTAATATGAACGGCTTCACATGAAACACTGACTGTACATACTATTCTCACCAAACTGTGATAACTGTGATTAAATTCAGTGTAAACAAATGCCATATGTTGCCACCCCTAAAAAATTCCTGCCCCCCTCTCGCCACCCCATAAATATTTTTCTAGATCCGCCCCTGATCAGTGGATCCCCTATTTTTAAAATAAGTTGTTACAATCCTGCTCCCAAAAGAAATCTTCTTGTAGTCGGACATATTTACAAACTGTTAGTGTTGTATCTTTTTTAACCCGGAAATAAGGAATAGATATCATTAAAAAAAAAATCGCCAGATTTTAATCTTTCCATTATTTGGCTCAGATAGGCTTGGGGCCAATCTGTAACAGTGCCAACGACACACAATGGTTGGAAGACAGCTGGATATTCTACCCCTCACCACTCATACACACAGCATCCCAGCAACAGATCTCCAACTAAATTTAGCTTTAAACCCTTTAAATGGCCTCATTTTCAGCCTATATCCAAACCAGCAGAAACATAAAGAATTCAGCGGCAAAGAAGGGGATAAATGTTGACCTATGTCCTTTGATTAGTTGTTTAGAGACACTATGCATGAAAAAAATTTGTCGATTAGTTAAAAAAAAAAAAAAAAAAACTCAAACAATTTTCATAGGACTCCACTGGGGCTAAAAATGGATTGGTGTGTGGAATGTGTTGCATTCTGGGAGAGGGGGGAAGAGAAAGAGAGCTTTATTCTCTAAACTGATGCACCTTAGAACGTTTTCCAGGAGCGGGGACCCCATAATTATATATATATATATATTGTATGAAATTGTTTTATATCAAACTGGTCCTATAATCACTCTATTACAGATGGAGTCATGTAACAAAAGTAATATAAAAAAAAGTTTTGTGACCCACATGCAGTACCTCCATGGGCCCCTAGGGTTCATGAACCCCCTGTTGAAGCCCTCCGCCTTAGAGCTAGGCTATAGGTAACAAACCGTACTGATATTAGGGATATAAAAAAAAAAATTACAGAACTGTGCGCTCTAAGCTTAGGTTGGTGTGAGTTTTATCTTTACAGCTTCATCATTTTTAAAACAAGCAGGTTTTTTTTTTTTTTTCAAACGGAAAAGAAGCATTTTTTTTCCTGCTGCTCCTAAAATTATAAGCAATACTGTCTTATAATTCTGTAGCTATGGACAAATATATACATTTGCTGTCTTCTTTTAACTAGAAAACACTTCAGTGCTTTAGCTAAAGCCTTACTTTACAGAGATGATTAAATATGTTATTTTTTTTTCAAAATGCTGATAATCCCAACAACAACAAGACATTAATAAATATGGCTTTTCATGATAATTCAAGGTAAGTAGTAGAATTACAGTAGTAGCTATTCAAAATTTCCCCACTTTTTTGATGGGCCCTTAGCTGGTCCTTGGCTAGTCCCCTACAAATCTTTTTTAAACTTCCAAAATATGCTTTTTTCATTCATGATTTGTAGAAATTAAGATCTAAAGAGAAGTGTCATCTTCTCAGACTCTGTAATTCAATGAAAGGGTGGAGTCAGAGTAAAAAAATGTGCATGCCCAGGAGAAGGCCAGTGGTTGGAAGTTGGAGGGGATTTTGCTCCCATTCAGCTGGCTTTTGACTGGGAAGGGCCATTTTAAATGGCTGCTAATGTAAATCCCAGATATTATTTAGCAGCTCTTTACCATAATCTAAAATTCTTTTCTATATGTTCTCATTAAACTGACTTATTAGTTTATCTGGTTAAATATTAAATGTCCTAACAGTTATTTAATGCAAAATTTCACTCTTGGCAGCAAGGATTTCTTTGTTATTTTAAGTTTAACATGTAATGGGCTTCTACCAATGAAATGTAAAGACAATAGAAAATTAAAGGAGGGATTCATCAAGTTTTCATCTTCAAGTTGATGTTTTTTAGCGTAGGATTAATAAAATAATTAACTCCATGTTGTTGCAGCTGATTGTTATGAAATTGCTTTAGAATTACATAAAGGAAAACAAACATAAATCTATGCAATATGGTCATTTGCAGTGATTTACATGAAGAAGATTAAAACTATGACTCTTTTTCTAAAATAAACGCTGCGACCTTAAAGCCATTCTGCTGCCTGTTCTCTACAGTTTAATTACCTCTTCCTCACTGCCCACGCCTCAATTACCATTTGCTTTCTGAATATAGATGTGAACTTTGAGTCTCTCTTCAAATATGTGTTCATACTCATCAAGGTTTATATCATTTCTTGTTTCTTGAAACCATAGCAATAAAAAAAAAAGTTTTGCATAAGTGCTAATTAAAGCTAAATGTAAAAACTTAATCGCAGAGTTACCACACAGACTGGAAGAGTTTGGAATTTGATTTAAGTCTCATTCAGTTATCCAATTGCCCATCTGTCCAGAGTTAGCAGATGCTTTTAAAACTAACCTACTTTTTTGTTTGTATTAGTTCTTCTGGAAGCCGTTATCGGCCAACCTGGAGGCCCAGGAGGGAGGCTCTGAACATTGACAGTATCTTCACCCGACAAAGAGACTCCTCTCTGGGCTACAGCACTGCACCAGGGTCCTCTCTTCTTCCTGAGCCCCAGCAGCCCCTCCCCTTTGTGGGACCACAATCAGGACTGGAAAACGCAGAGGGAAGGGAGACCAGGGAGGCCGGGTTTGGGCTGGTTGGTCAGCCCAGGTTTTCCAGTGCAGGGCGGACTATGGGTCCTCCTGTTCCTCCACCTCTGAGAGGGGTGGAGCACCAGCCACGTCTGATCCAGAGAATGGAGAGTGGCTACGAAAGCAGTGAGAGGAACAGCAGCAGCCCTGACAGGTAGGACAAGCACACATATCAATTACTGTCTCTGGCTCTTAGTGTCCATTGTCCATCATGTTTTCCTCTTGAGGTTTCTCTTCCTTTTTTCCTCTCATTTTCCAATTTATCGGCACGAAACATAAATGTGACATTAACAAGAACAAATCGGCCAAAAAGAAGTGCTCCATAAAAAAAATTAAATGAAGCCCTGAACACATTAGAATGTGTGGGTTGTCTCATTTATCAGCATTTGCCCATTTTCCTCTGCCTTTCTTGCTGTCTTCACTCTTTATGCCTCTCTGCAGGGAGGTGGGGCAACAAAAACGGGTGCTGATGTCAGGACCGTCATGGCGATCGGTGCCCAAGTCGAAAAGCAGTGGTGCTATCACACAGGAGCTGCCACACCCCTGCTGGGTAGGCGGCTGTGCCACAGGTCTGTCCCCCCCTTCATACAGTTACATACAGCTTCTGCAACTTCTGTTGGTGTGATTGATTATTAATCTACTCTGCAATCTTATTCTGTCTTCAGGCGCTGGCCGCAGTGAGCTTGATGAGCTGCAGGAGGAGGTTGCAAGGAGAGCCCGCCAGCAGGAGCAGCAAAAACGCAAGGAGGCTGAGCAGGAAGCAGCCATGGGATTCAACCCCAGACCCAGCAAGTTCATGGATCTGGACCAGCTGCAACACCAGGGTATGGAGGAAAAAAGGATAGGAGCATGGCTCAACATTTTATACACATCAAGTAGTACTAAGGAGAACTTATGGGGTACTGATGGTACTGTGCACTATGAACAGGTATCATCTCATATGGTATTTCTTCTCTTTTTTTCCCCCAGTACTTACTGTATGCAGGCTGTTTAAAGGTCTATATGAGGGGGAATGTCTTTAAACTGATTACTACATTGTCATTGACAACCCTTTATTTACTGTACCTTGTCGCAAATCCATTTAAATCCATCTGCTCAAATGATACAACTTAAAGAGTTTCATGAAGATTCACTAAATTCTTAAACAAAAAAAATGTAAGCTTTACATAAAATATTTTTTATTGTATGTAAGAATTTTGTTCGCAGCAGCAAAAGCAAGCTGTATACATAGTAAATGCCAACATTTACTAGTAACTTTAACTATTTACTAAGAGCTTAACCCACTTTAACTAAAGCACTTATTGTCTTAATACCTCCTTGAAAACTAATAAATCATAGGTGTCATGTAGGTCCTCCCATATGTATCCTATAATTTTCTCAGTGGCTACCTGGCAGCTGTGTACTGCTGATACATCATACCTCTGTGCTCTGTAAGTACATAAGGGTGGACAGTAAGTATGGCAATATAAGTCGCTAAAAAATACTAGAGGTGTAGAAAAAAACTAAAATCCATTGACTATAATTTAATACTCAGGTCAGCCCCCATCAGCTGTTTCTTGAGGTGCCTAAAACAAAATGGAAGCTCAGGGGGATCATGATTTCTCTGTGGCAGCTCCAAAAATGTTGAACGACCTTCCAATGTGAATTAAAGTGTACCTCTCTGTCTGATTTTATATCGCTCATAAAAACAAATTTCTTTGGCTTGGATTCAAAACTGTGAGATGTGGATTTTAACCTGTGATCAATTATTTTAAATTATTTTTATTTTTATATTTCACTATTCATTTATTATAGATTTTATACTCTTATTTGTAATTCATATCTTTTATGGTTTAATAATTTTAAATTTTTTTTATTTATGTCCTCTGAGTCTGTGTAATGGTTTTATATTGTTTCATTGTACAGCATTGTACAGCACTTTGTTAAGAAATTTTAAAGTACTTTATAAATAAAGTTAGATTGGATTGGATAATTGGATGATTTTTAGCTTGATCGGCTGCAGATTCATCGTTCCTAGCTCTGAATTCCCATTTCAACTTCCCATTATAACACAGTTTGTCGTTTGAAGAAGACTTTTTAAAATCTGTTTTCAGTTGTGAAGGCTTTAGGCTTGATATCACATTATTTAAAAAAGCTAGCAAAGTAATACAGATTTAAATGTACTTTACACTCACCGGCCACTTTATTAGGTACACCTGCCCAACTGCTCGTTAACACTTAATTTCTAAGCAGCCAATCACATGGCGGCAACTCAGTGCATTTAGGCATGTAGACATGGTCAAGACAATCTCCTACAGTTCAAACCGAGCACCAGTATGGGGAAGAAAGGTGATTTGAGTGACTTTGAACGTGGCATGATTGTTGGTGCCAGAAGGGCTGTTCTGAGTATTTCAGAAACTGCTGATCTACTGGGATTTTCACACACAACCATCTCTAGGGTTTACAGAGAATGGTCCGAAAAAGAAAAAACATCCAGTGAGCGGCAGTTCTGTGGGCGGAAATGCCTTGTTGATGCCAGAGGTCAGAGGAGAATGGCCAGACTGGTTCGAGCTGATAGAAGGGCAACAGTGACTCAAATAACCACCCGTTACAACCAAGGTGGGCAGAAGAGCATCTCTGAACGCACAGTACGTGGAACTTTGAGGCAGATGGGCTACAGCAGCAGAAGACCACACCGGGTGCCACTCCTTTCAGCTAAGAACAGGAAACTGAGGCTACAATTTGCACAAGCTCATCGAAATTGGACAATAGAAGATTGGAAAAACGTTGCTTGGTCTGATGAGTCTCGATTTCTGCTGTGACATTTGGATGGTAGGGTCAGAATTTGGCGTCTACAACATGAAAGCATCCATCCTGCCTTGTATCAATGGTTCAGGCTGGTGGTGGTGGTGTCATGGTGTGGGGAATATTTTCTTGGCACTCTTTGGGCCCCTTGGTACCAATTGAGCATCGTTGCAACGCCACCGCCTACCTGAGTATTGTTGCTGACCATGTCCGTCCCTTTATGACCACAATGTACCCAACTTCTGTTGGCTACTTTCAGCAGGATAATGCGCCATGTCATAAAGCTTGAATCATCTCAGACTGGTTTCTTGAACATGACAATGAGTTCACTGTACTCAAATGGCCTCCACAGTCACCAGATCTCAATCCAATAGAGCATCTTTGGGATGTGGTGGAACGGGAGATTCGCATCATGGATGTGCAGCCGACAAATCTGCGGCAAGTGTGTGATGCCATCATGTCAATATGGACCAAACTCCCTGAGGAATGCTTCCAGCACCTTGTTGGATCTATGCCACAAAGAATTGAGGCAGTTCTGAAGGCAAAAAGGGGTCCAACCCGTTACTAGCATGGGGTGCCTAATAAAGTGGCCGGTGAGTGTATATTATTAATAAAAAAATAAGCAGCAAAAAGAAAGAAATTATAGGTCCATGTAAAGTAAACTGGATTGGATCTCTGATATCCGTACCCGCATGACTGAGCTCCTCACCCTAGCTCTAAGGGAGAGCCCAGATACACTACGGAGAAAAATCATTTCAGCCACTTGTATCCGGGATCTCGTTCTTTCGGTCATGACCCAAAGCTCATGTCCATAGATGAAAGTTGGAACGTAGATCGACCGGTAAATCGAGAACTTTGCTTTTTGGCTCAGCTCTTTCTTCACCACAACAGACTGGTACAGTGCCCGCTTCACATCAGATGCCGCACCAATCCGCCTATCTATCTCCTGCACCATCTTCCCCTAATTCGTGAACAAGACCCCAAGATAGTTAAACTCTTCCACTAAGGGCAGTACATCCTCCCCAACCCGGATAAGGCACTCTACCCTTTTCCAGCTCAAGACCATGGATGGATTTGGAGGCATTGATCCTCATCCCTGCCACTTCACATTCGGCCAGGAGCCGCTCCAGTGAGAGCTGTAGTTCACACCCTGATGAAGCCAATAGAACCACATCATCTGCGAATAACAGAGGTGCAATCCTAAAGCCACCAAAACAGATCCCCTCAACACCTTGGCTGCGCCTAGAAATTCTGTCCATAAAAGTTATGAACAGAATCGCTGACAAAGGGCAACCTTGGCGGATTCCAACCCTCACCGGAAACGAGTCCAACTTACTGCTGGCAATGTGGACCAAGCTCTGACACCGGTCATACAGAGACCTAAAAGCCATCATTAAGGGGTCCGGTACTCGATACTCCCGGAGTACCCCCCACAGGACCCCCTGAGGGACACCGTCGAATGCCTTCTCCAGATCCACAAAACACATGTAGATTGGTTGGGCAAACTCTCTTGAACCCTTGAGGATCAGGCTGAGGGTGTAGAGCTGATCCAGTGTTCCACGGCCAAGATTAAAACCATACTGCTCCTCCTGAATACCGAGATTCGATCACCCGATGGACCCTGCTCTTCAGAAGCCTGGAATAGACCTTACCAGGGAGGCTTAAGAGTGTGATTCCTCTGTAGTTGGAACACCCCAATCAGTCAATCCAGGGGAACTGCCCCTGATGTCCACACAATATTGCAGAGCCACGTTAACCAGCACAGCCCCACAACATCCAGAGTCTTAAGGTACTCAGGGCAAATCTCACCTACCCCTGGGGCCTTACCACCGAGGAGCATTTTAACCACCCTAGTGACTTCAGCACCAGAGATGAGATATCCCAACCTGGAGCCCCCAGGCTCTGCTTCCTCAATAGAAGACATGTTGGTGGGATTAAGGAGGTCTTAGAAGTGCTCCGCCCACCGATATATACAACGTCCTGAGTCGAGGTCAGCAGCACACCACCCCCACTCTAAATAGTGTTGGTACTGCACTGCTTCCCCCTCCTAAGATGCCGGATTATGGACCAGAATCGCTTTGAAGCCGTAGGCAAGTCTTTCTCCATGACCTCTCCAAACTCTTCCCACACCCGAGTTGTTGCCTCAGCAACCAGCCGAGCCACCTGCCGTTTTGACTGATGGTACATATCAGCTGCTTCTGGATTCCCACAATCAATAAAATCGATAGGACTCCTTGTTCAGCTTGACAGCTTCCCTCACCGTCGGTGCCCACCAGCGTGTTTGAGGGTTGCCGCCGCGACATGCACCGACAACCTTGCGGCCACAGCTCCGACTAGCCGCCTCAACAATAGAGGCACAGAACAAGGTCCACTCAGACTCAATGTCTGGGAGTTAAAGCTATTTCTCACAGGGGACTTTGCCAGACGTTCCCAGAAAACCCTCACAATATGTTTTGGCCTACTAGGTCTAACTGGCGTCCTCCCCCACCACCGGAGCCAACTCACCACCAGGTAGTGGTCGGAGGAGAGCTCCGCCCCTCTCTCCACCTGGGTGTCCAAGCTGCGGGTCAGATGAAACAACAACAAAGTGGATGATTGAACTACGGCCTAGAGTGTCCAGGTGCCAAGGGCACATATGGATTCCCTTATGCTTGAACCCTTATGCTCTGATATCCAATATCAAACTGCTGATATTCAATAGCCTGTGAATGCTGTGTAATTCAGTTGGTAGTTTCTGTTTTAAGAATTCTTCACAAATCAACATTGCTTAGTTGAGGTCTTGAGTTCTATGATAATTTTTTTGTCACATCCTATTTGTGCCTGTCTGGTTGCACCTAGACATATTAAATGCACACACGCAAACTGAGTTTGTCTCAGCTATGCTAATTCTTGCAGCCTTACAGCAGCAACATTTTTGCAATATTTTAAAATAGGTAAATGTTCTGTATATGGCCTTATTAGGATTTCTAATTTCAATGGCAGGAAATATGCCTTTCTAGGTTTCTTATTTACTCCAGTTGCCTTGATGAATTGCGTCTCGCTTCCATTGATAAAGTCTTCCTAACTATCAGGGTTAACTTGATTCAGAGTTACGTTACCTAACTGAACTAATCTCTTCTGAAATCACAAATTTAGGTTATGCCAGAACTAGGTAGGTCTACTTTCCATCAAGACTACTGTATGTTATCCTTTCTTTGTGAAATGCACCTAGTTCTCTGTACACACACACACACACACACACACACACACACACACACACAAACACACTATAGTACAGACCGCTATGAGGAATGGAAAGGACAAGTTGTGAACAATTGGATGGCATTCCTTTCAGTGTAATTATGTAACAGAATTTGGGTTTAAATATGTTCTTATTGATGACTGAGCCAGACTTCAGTATCAAACATTATGGGATGGCAGAGCAACAGTTAACCCTTTATTATTGCACCTTTAGAAGCAGGGATATTAAAACTCCACAGAAATGTGGATAGGAAGACACCGACCAGTAAACCAGTCATATCCAAACTGAAGTTTCAGTTTTAATTGACTTTGAATTGGTCTAGGGTTTAAATGTAAATTTTCCCTCCAAATGAGAAAGTATGAATAAATAAAGTTTGTTGTTTAATATTTTTAAATTAGGTTTTTTTTATACTGTACAATATATACCATCATTAAGGCATTTCATGTTTGTTTGTAAAGCTTGATTTACGAAGTAGTTTCAAATAGGTGCCGTCTAACTATGTACCTGTTTGTACTTGCTGTATTATGAATCCTTAATAATTAAGCTTGGTTTTATCACTGTGTGTCCAAATAATAATACGTTTGCTAACTATATCCAATGTCAGTGATGTGACACTAGGTTTTTTTTCAGGATTTCAAATACCTGCAGCAAAGTGATATTTTTTTAAATGGAAAAACGGTCTTCTGCATGTTTTATATCCTTGAGGTATTTGTGCTAAAGCGGAGGAGAATAATGTTGCCTCTCTTGTATTTCATGCTTCTGTGAATATTGGCTGAAAAAGTCCCTGATGACGTTAGGCATCTAAATGATAGGCAGCTTTGAGGTGCATTTCTATCTGTTTATTAGCTGACTTTTATATTTTAACAAGATTAGAAAATCTATGCTTTAACAAACCAGGACTGGTTTGTTAAAGCTATGATATATTAGTCCTTAAATCCCTGTCCCTTGAGCCAGGGAAGGGAGTTAAGGACCAGAGTGATATTCCCTATATCTGGTATATGGGTGGTAGGAAATAGGAGTGGCCCAACAATGGAGCTTTGCGGAGCAACAGATTTAATTAAATTTAATGAATAGATTTAATGTAATTACGGTCCAGGTCAACCAGTCGGTATGTTTTAATATCCAATCTCTCAAATGATGTATTCAGGCTCTTTGGATATATGTGAATTTTAACCTCTAGCACTACTGTATCAACTAAGTAACAACAAAAATTTTATAAGACCTACATTAATAAAATGCTGACTAATGCACTTTAAATCCTTGTTTCTTCTTTACATTGATATTTAATGCAAATAGTTTAAAGACAAAGAGTGGCTTCTTGAGTGGTAGAAGGTAATGGTAACATTTTTGTTTTGCTTTTCCATTCTGTCTGATGTTTGTCACTTCAAGTCTCAGCTTTCATTTTCTTTACTTTCATTTCCCCCTTTAATTTGCCAGCTGAAGTAAAAATTATGCTTGGGCAGACGTGTGAAGTCAAAACCGACCTGTAGGCACCTTTATTCTGGGCTCTATCGTGCATTTTAGTGATAAGGTTAACATTAGATCTGGAGAACTCTAATTTTCATTGCTAAAATATATATGTTTTTCACAGTAATATAAAACAAATCAGGGTAACGCAACATTTATGCCTCTTAAGGTTTTTAGGACTCTAATTTTTATTTCATACTTATCCAAAGCATAGATATCACTGAAATGCGACTTAGTTTGGCATCACAATTTCTGGGTTCTGGTTCTGATTTCCCGTCGTAGATATGGAGGCAAACAGTGTGGTGGGTCTGGTTGCTAAACACTTTCATGGCAGGACTGCTTTTATTTTTATTCAAAATATGCCCAGATGGGTTCCCAGTATGGGAGTGCAGCGTGTGTAGGCCCCCAGCACTCCAAAAGACAAACTTTCCTTTTTTCTCTGTCTCAGTTTGTTTCGATTGTTTTTCTCATCCTAAACTTTTACTGTCCTTCTTTCACTTTTTAACATTTTCACAGCCACTCTGTCATTTTATCTCTGTCTTTTCTCCTTTTTATCTCCTGCCCTGTTGTTAACATCCTCAGCTGTGCTAAGACCCCTGCATGAGGCTAACGCTCATAGTGGATTGGCTGTAGCGGCGTGCATGAGGAGCACTGGGGGCCCAATCAAACGCAGGCAGGAACAGGAAATGGAACAGGACGCGGGACGCGCCCATCCACAGGGGCCTCGCAGGTACCATAACTGTCCTTTACCCGCCCATACACTATATGTGTCAGCAGAGGTGCCTGCTTAAAAATCCCGGTGTCTTTAGCTTAAACTGTGCTTAGAACCTCTGCAAAACTCCTCTGTGTATCTGAACCTGGTGTTGGTTGTTCTCTATTACTTCTGGCTGGTTCATGTTTTTGTGACCCCCCCATTTTCTCCATTTGCTTCTGTGTTTAAATGTTGTACTTTATAGAGGGACTTTTTCCCTTTTTGTATTTGTTGCAATGCAGTAAAAGCTTTGCTGCTTTGCTGTGCTTTTCCATTGGGAATAAAAGCGAGAGTCTGTGTTGCTCTCTGTGTCTCTGTGCTTCACTGCTTCATCTGCATTGTTGTTCCTGTTGGCTTTCAGGGCTTCCCTCTGCTCTTTAAGTGCGGCTAACCTGCCTTCTCAACTGTAAAACTGCAGTCTGTCACTTTGTTTCTGTCCTCTTTGACTGCAGTCAAAGATCCTACGGTGCAGTTTGTTTTCTTGCTCTAAGTTACGACTGAGTGTTTTTCACTAATTAAATCTGATCCAATCCTGATATGGTAGTTTGAAAAGTAATCAGATTGGATTTACAGTAGGTATATTAATTGATTATGTATTAAATTAAATGGATTCAAAGTCATGATTATATTTACTAGACACAGATAGCCATGCAAGCATTTTATAGTTTTGACTTATGCCTGCTGTTTTGATCATTTAAATCCAACGATTTTTTTAAAATGTCTTGAAGTTATATTTATTCATATACTATTAAATAAAACCTTAGGTACCCATTATTCAACAAAAGAAAAAAAACAACAGTGGTCAAGAAATAACTTATATCCAACAAAAGTTATAATAGATAAATGAACAAATTAAAGTCAGACAGTGGTTTTATCCATGCTTCAACAGAATTACTTAAAAAAGAAACTGACCTGGACAAAAATGATGGTACCTCTAGAAAAGACAGAAAATAATGTAACTGAAAGAGCATGATAAATTAAGGTGTCTACTACCGTATTTTCACGACTATAAGGCGCACTTAAACGTCTTTTTTTCCCCTCAAAATGTGCAGTGCGCCCTATGGTGCGATGCGCCCTATGTGTGTTGTAACTGCGACTTTTGAGACCACCTCATTGAGGAGATGATGAAAGAGTGGCTGAATGTAAGGAGACCAGGTGTTTTTTTTCCACTCATCACCATCGCTGTTATTATGTAACTCCATGCGTGCCCATCTCACAGCTGATGTGAAAAACATGGGGAAACAAATTAACGCTGTGCTCGCTGTTCAACCGCTCGACATCGGTGTGAACCAGACCCAGCAGGTGCAGCAGAAGCAGCGAGTTTACATGCAAAGGACAGGTGCTGGTCATAAAATTAGATTATCATGTAAAAGTAGATTGATTTCAGTAATTCCATTTAAAAAGTGAAACTTGTATATTATATTCATACATTACATACAAACTCATATATTTCAGATGTTTATTTTGTTTAATTTTGATGATTACAAATGACAACAAATGAAAATCTCAAATTCATCATATCAGAAAATTAGAATATTACTGAAGACCAATAAAAACAAAGGATTTATAGAAATGTTGGCCAACTGAAAAGTATGAACATGAAAAGTATGAGCATGTACAGCACTCAGTATTTAGTTGGGCCTCCTTTGGCCTGTATTACTGCAGCAATGCGGCGTGGCATGGAGTCGATCAGTCTGTGGCACTGCTCAGGTGTTATGATAGCCCAGGTTGCTCTAATAGTGGCTTTTAGCTCTTCTGAATTGTTGGGTCTGGTGTATTGCATCTTCTTCTTCACAATACCCCATAGATTTTCTATGGGGTTAAGGTCAGGAGAGTTTGCTGGCCAATTAAGAACAGGGATACCATGGTCCTTCAACCAGGTACTGGTAGCTTTGGCACTGTGTGCAGGTGCCAAGTCCTGTTGGAAAATGAAATCTGCATCTCCAAAAAGTTGGTCAGCTGCAGGAAGCATGAAGTGCTCTAAAACTTCCTGGTATGTGGCTGCGTTGACCCTGGACCTCAGAAAACACAATGGACCAACACCAGCAGATGACATGGCACCCCAAACCATCACTGACTGTGGAAACTTTACACTGGACTTCAAGCAACGTGGATGAAGTGCCTCTCTTCTTTTCCTCCAGACTCTGGGACCTTGATTTCGAAAGGAAATGCAAAATTTACTTTCATCAGAGAACATGACTTTGGACCACTCACCAGCAGTCCAGTCCTGTTTCTCTTTAGCCCAGGCAAGACGCTTCTGACGCTGTCTGTGGTTCAAGAGTGGCTTGACACAAGGAATGCGACAGCAGAAACCCATGTCTTTCATACGTCTGTGTGTGGTGGTTCTTGAAGCACTCACTCCAGCTGCAGTCCACTCTTTGTGAATCTCCCCCACATTTTTGAATGGGTTTTGTTTCACAATCCTCTCCAGGGTGCGGTTATCTCTCTTGCTTGTACACTTTTTTCGACCACATCTTTTCCTTCCCTTCGCCTCTCTATTAATGTGCTTGGACACTGAGCTCTGTGAACAGCCAGCCTCTTTAGCGATGACCTTTTGTGTCTTGCCCTCCTTGTGCAAGGTGTCGATGGTCGTCTTTTGGACAACTGTCAAGTCAGCAGTCTTCCCCATGATTGTGTAGCCTATAGAACTAGACTGAAAGACCATTTAAAGGCTTTTGCAGGTGGTTTGAGTTAATTAGCTGATTAGAGTGTGGCACCAGGGGCCATCAATTTTGAACCTTTTCACAATATTCTAATTTTCTGATATGATGAATTTGAGATTTTCATTTGTTGTCATTTGTAATCATCAAAATTAAACAAAATAAACATCTGAAATATATGAGTTTGTATGTAATGTATGAATATAATATACAAGTTTCACTTTTTAAATGGAATTACTGAAATCAATCTACTTTTTCATGATATTCTAATTTTATGACCAGCACCTGTAAATGGTTGACGCGCGTATAGGTGCAGCAGAAGCAGCGAGTTTACATGCAAAGTAAATGGTTGACGCGCGTATAGGTGCAGCAAAAGGTCCTGCAGCGCGTTTTGAGCAGCAGGAGCGTTTAAGCATCTGCCAACGCGCTGCTGCTGCTCGAGATGGAAAAATTTAAGTTTTGCTGCTGGACGCGCCGCATCAACCAATCAGAGAAGCTGATCTGGGAGCTGACGGCTGGACAGACACAGCGCTCTGATGACATATGATATTAACGCAAATGGAAAAGGCTGGATGGATGCGGAGATGATGAAAGCGTAGCTGAGGCAGGTGTAGCCTATGTGAGGAGACCAGGTGATTTTTTTCCACGCATCACCATCGCTGCGTGCCCATCTCACAGCCGATGTGAAAAAAAAGGTGAATCAAATGGACGCTGTACTCGCCGTTATCCCGGGGGTCTGACAAAGGAGCTTCAACTGCTCGACATCGGTGTGAAGCGGCCGTTCAAAGTAAGGCTGCGAGCGGCGTGGGAGCGATGGATGGCCGATAGAGACCACGGTTTCAGGATAAGTGGAAGGCAGCGCCGGGCAAGTTACGCCACCGTTTGCGGATGGATTGTAGATGCTTGGACTAACGTGTCTGCTGGCTCTGTTGTTCAAGCTTTTGCAAAAGCCGGCATTATTTCTGAGGAGCTGCGCTGCACGGAAAGTGACTCTGACAGCGAAGAAGGGGAAATTGGCATGTCTGATTTAGCGCAGCTGTTTTATTCAGAAACAGAGGATGATGACTTTGATGGGTTTGATTAATACTTTGTAATAAATACATGAATAAAGCACAATCATACTCAGTTTTGCTCCCGCTCTATTTTTCTACCTGAAAACTTAATTCAACAGCAGCCTCTGGGCGGGTCTCCTCCTCTTCACCGCGGTGGCTGGCAGGTGTTTTTTCATCTAAATAATCTAAATCTTGCAGCTATATTTGCATGATCAGTGGGAATAAAGTAGTTTTAATATGTTTTTAAGTGAGAAAGTCCACCTGAAAACTTAATAATTGCAGTCAGTTCATCCAGATTATCTATTTCTGTTGGAGGCGCTCAGACCCCCACATACCAGCGGTGCGCCGACAGGAGAAATCCTTTCATCAGCAGCCTCTAGGCTGGGCAGCCTCCGGGTTCACGCGGTGGATGGCAGGTGTTTTTCATCGAAATAATTTAAACTGCAGGCACCCATAAAAGCGAACATATTCCGTCGGCAGGTTTCAGGATTTTAAGTTAATTTAGGAGTGATCACAGCGCTGTGTCATCTGCGATGTGTCTGTCTCACGGCCAGCTGCCAGGTTTGATTAATACTTTTTAATAAATACATGAATAAAGCACAGTCATACTCAGTTTTGCCCCCGCTGTATTTTTAAATACGCAGTAGAGGTATTTAAAGGTAGTAGAGGACATGTACCTGTATATAAAAAACGCGCCCTATAGTCCGGTGCGCCTTATGTGTGTGTTAAATACAGAAATGGGACACATAACTGAGACTGCGCCTTTTAGTACGGTGCGCCTTATGGTCGTGAAAATACGGTAATTAGCATCACAGCTGTCTACAATCTTGTAGTCAGTCAATGGGCCTATATATAGAGCTACAGGTAGTCGCTGTGCTGTTTGGGGACCAGAGAATGCAAAGAGTTGTCTGAAAAGGTTAGAAAGAAAATTATAGACCAGTATGTTAAAGATAAAGGCTATAATACCATATCCAAACAACTTTATGTTCTTATTACTACAGCTGCACATATAAATCAGAAATGATGCAGATGTTTTAAGGAGAAAATTGATGACCAATGTAAGAGATGGATGATATAAATGGTAGCAAGGAGCATTAGTGTCAGATCACATCATCCATTGATGTTGAACCTATGTGGACTTAATGGTAGATGACCAAGGAAGACAGTGTTAGTGAAAACGTTTAAAAAGCTAGATTGAAATTGGACAAACTATATTTTGGCAAGCCACAAAGTTTGAGGGACAATGTCCTACAGACAAATCAGACAA